TTATTTAGATAAAATCAAATCTTTTGCTTTTTAATAAAATTTGTAGAATAACTAATCAAAGTTTTATTTTTTTCAGGCTAAATGACCTCATTATCACTGCCTGTTCTATATCGAGAATTTTTCTTTATCTATCACTTTATTTTCTTGATTTTGGAAATAGAAGTTGTAATGGCCAGGTGACCCTGGGTACAGTCTGACTGATGTTTTCCTCCTTATTGTAACAGTTGGTCACTCAACTAGTTTTATTGCTGCTGCTATTTCTATTAGAAAGCAGGTAGGCAAACAGGCACAGTGGTGCACGCCTGTAATCCTAGCAATTTAGGAGGCTGAGGCAGGAGGATAACAAGTTCAGAGCCAGCCCCAGCAACTTATGAGAGCCTGTCTCTAAATAAAACATAAAAAGGGCAGGGGATGTAGCTCAGGAGTTGGGCACCCCTGGGTTCAATCCCTGGTACCGAAAGAAAGAGAGAGAAGGTGGGCAAGAATCTGTGTGCAACTAAGGAAGGTGTACCACCCGGCTTTTTAATCTGTACTTTTAAGTTCTGATGGCTTCTGCTAAAGGTCAAGGAGAAAAATAGAAATCAATATTCCAAATATTGTAAAAAGTGGAGTGTCAGAATTATCCTGACCTTTCATTTCAGATGGAATTTTAGTTATTTCAAGCAGAGAATCAAGAATTGGCTTACTTAGAAGATTATAATTCTCTTAGTATAAAAAAATAACCTGTGACAATTTGTGATATTTAATATGTTAAATAAAGTTTCAGAAAGCAAATCAAAACCTGATTGAAATAACTTTCAAACAATAACTGAGGCATTTTACTTACTTCATACTCAAATCTCAGGGTAGTATAAATATAAAGTAGTGTAAATATAAAGTTGTTATAAAAATATCCTTATTTTAATTTTGGAAGACTTGTTAAGTATTATAAATTTCACAAGTACTCTAATTCTTCTAGGAAAAAAACTACCATTTTCAAAAAGTCTTGAATATTTCTTTCATTTTATCCTTATAAAGTCCTCTTCTGTGTGACAAGACTTGAAACCAAGTAGAATTTTGTATTTAGTTTCTGCTGAAGTTGCTGTTTTGGTTGAATAAAAACATTTCCCCGATTGAATAATCATGAGTATTAAGGGTTTTTTTAAAAACTGAGTCCAAAAGTTCTCAAAGCCTGCCAAAATCTTTAATATACTTAAAAAAATAGTTTTGGTTCTTATCTTGCTTAGTATAACCAATACTCTTTATTATATATAGCAAAATCAGCCTATTTTTTCCTTCATAGTTTTTCTATATCTGAAAGTCTAGGATGAGGTGGAAAATTGCCAGTTGGCTTAAGTTAAAAATTATTTATAATATGAGGATGCTCACTTAAGTTTAAATAGTAAATATTTTACATTATATCAGAAAGTCTATCCCTCTTCCATTTTTGAATCTGCTTATCTACTTGAAGTGTTTCTAAGTAATATTTTTAATATTTACTTTTTTATAGACAAAGTCTATAGATGGAATTTTTTTAAAATAAACCACAGTTATGTAACTGGTTAAAACTAAACTTATTGCTGAGCACAGTAGCACACACGTGTAATCCCAGTAACTGGAGAGGCTGAGATAGGAGCATGACAAATTTGAGGCCAGCCTCCGCAACTTAGCAAGACCCTAAGCAACTTGGTGAGACCCTGTCTAAAAATTAAAAAGGACTGCTGGGGTGGGGGCTCAGCGGTAGAGTACTCACCTAGCACGTGTGGGATACTGGGTTCAATCCTCAGCACCACATAAAAATAAAGGTATTGTGTCCAACTACAACTAAAATATATATATATATATATATATATATTTAAAAAAATAAAAATAAAAAGGACTGGGGATGTGGCTCGGTGGTAGAGTTCCTCTGGGTTCAATTCTCAGTACCAAACAAAAAATAAATAAATTTTGTTTGGGAGGGGTGGGGGACAATTAAACAAGATTATATTCCCAGAATCCTTCAGGTGAAACAAGAAATTTTATTATGTTTTATTTATTTGAAAGTGTTATATAAACAATTTTTTCTTCTTTTTATTGTTTTACTTATTCATTTAGTAATTTGTTCATTCATTATGTCTTTTAAATGGCAGTATCCCTCTGAAGAAGATATGATTGAATGGGCCAAGAGGGAGAGTGAGAGAGAGGAAGAGCAAAGGCTTGCCCGACTGAATCAGCAAGAACAAGAAGACCTAGAACTGGCTATTGCACTCAGCAAATCTGAGATATCAGAAGCATGAAGAATTCTCTTGTCCTTTGTCTACAATTCTCTTCTTCCTAAATATTGATGCTATTTACCATGTATATCAAAACTACCTGTGAGCATGGGAATACAAAAGGTTTGAGATTCCTGTAAATGTGACAAAAGTCTAGGTTTTTTCTTTTGTACTCTCAGATTTGACTTTTATTATTTCCTCTAAAAGCAGTAACCTAATCAGACAGCTTTACCTAGGCCCTTGTTCTGGTGTGCATTTACTGTGAGCTTCAGCCTGCCTGTGCTACTTTTACTTGTAAACCTAGAGCATCCAAGCTTCTGCCTTCTGGAATGTAGAGAAATAGTTTCACCCCATGCTACCTTTGTTCTGTGGTTATTCTGATTAGAGTCAGTTGAGTTTATAAAGTTTGCAGTATTCTCCCTTGATTTTAATGGTTGAAGGAGAGGAAGAGAACAAACATCGCATTTCTTTTATGATTGATATAAATTGGCTAGTATAAAGTACATTTTTGTATATCCTTGGAGTATAAATACCATTTAATTTGTTTTTTAGAGAAAAGGAAAAATATTTTGCATCAGTCTACTCCACTATTGAAAAAAGGATGCTTTAGATTGAATGATTTTAACTTAAAACTTAAATTTTTCCTAAATAAAAAACATTAAAATCTCATGTGGAAATACATTTTTTAAGACAATTTTCTGTGGATTTAAGGACTTTTAGGTCAACAGATACCTCTCCATAAATTTGCTAATTAACAAAATCAGTTTCTTACAAGTAAAGTTTGTAAGAAAATGTCCATTTTAAGTGCCAGATGTGAAGAAAATTTATCACTTAAAATGTACCCATCAGTATAAGGTAAGCACAAATCTTAATTAACATGCAACTGTTCTGCCTTTGCAGTGGCACTGTCCTCTTGAGTTCATTTAGTTTACTATTATACTTTTGCAGAAGAAACATTAGCAAGCTACAACTGGAAGGTACTTTAATTTTTCATGTATATTTTTGTTTTCTTTAATGAAGTCTTAACTACTTGAAATATAAAAACTTTCACTGAATACAAATAGGAAAGGTGACATGTATTATACCATATTGCTTTTTTGTCTTTGTAGTTTAAATTAGTTTATTTACTTCATGTTTTTCACCTATAAAAAGGGCAACCTACCCTTTTTTTTTTTTAATTGGAAGGGAAAAGATCTGCCAAATTTTCAAAACTCCTTACATTTTAAAATCTCATCTTTAAAACTAACCTAGCAGGCAAGCTGAATTTGAATAGACTGTGAAGAAGGCTGTATATTGTAATCCTCTTTTTGCACATGAGTTACTGAGTTAGATAATGTATTAAATAACAGATAAATAAAAATGCACCTATAACCTAATTTAAATTCTCTGGGATCAACAAGTCAAGGTGGTATTGATCTGTAATAATCAGAGTAACTTATTGCTTAGACTATAAGTAAATTCCAAAATATCTAATTCATATGATCTTGAAATGGTGCTTTTCTTCTTTCCACACACAATTGGATGGCTGGAGTTTAAAACAAACCACTTCCTGTACTGCTAACTTTTT